ATAGTCTCTCTCTCTCTCTCTCTCTCTCTCTCTCTCTCTCTCTCTCTCTCTCTCTCTCGCAGGGGCAAAAATGGCACCAACAACTGAGAAGTAGGATGCGATTCTGCTATACCATCACCTCGGTACTGATAGGCCAAGCTCTAGTTAAACAAACAGATACAAAACCAATCAAAAGACCCATAGTTTAAAGCCCCCAAAAAAACTCAGAAAGAAATGAAGTATAACAAGCCAAAAAAATGCTCCATTTCAGTTCTCCTATCACATAAGTTACTTCCATTTTCAAGTAGAAATAAGCCACTATAAATATTGTGCCAGAACCAGTCAGAACTAAAGACTAAGTCTCATGAACCCATAACATTGGGAGAACTAGATATTTCTGCAAGCCTACTATTAAAGACCAGCTGGGTTTTGCAAAAATTGAAGATGTCGGGTGAGAAAAGCTTTAAGAAAGTGAAGCAATAATGTATGGTTGGGAGTTTCAGTGTGGTACAAGGCATCATACACGGAGCACACCTATTTCTCAGTGGCAGAAACGCCATGAAGCAAAACGAGTTCACGTACCATCGCTGCCATCTGGTAAAATAAGCACTTGCATTACATAAAGAAGTTCTGTTCCTCTTTTGAAATAGTTTAAACATATAACATTTCAACAAAGAGTAAGCAATAAAACAAACAGTGCAAAAGGAAAATGAACCCTTGAAATACTTAAAAAGGAGTGGGATAAATGCAGTCCAATTGGAACGGACCTCTACAGTTGAAACACCAATTTAAATGCTTGGCAAATTTCGTTTGGCCAAAATCAAAGGTTTAGCCTTTCAGGGCAAAAGGGCTGCAAGCCAACTAGTTCTTTCTTGAAGTGGTGCATCCCCTATTGAAATTGGCATCTGAAAGTCAGCTAAAACTAGGAAAAATTCACAGCGCTGCCCAGCCAAGGATTTCTCCAGCATTTAGAAGCCCAGGAAAATTATATTGGAGGGAAATCGAGAAAAGAAAACAATTTCTAATTTTCGGGGTCCAGGATCTTCTTTTAGGACATATATGGAGCCCCATGTTTTCGGTTTGTATCACAGCTTACACATCCAAATTTTGCCTTTTTTCATCCCTTTCAATGTAAAGTTTGAAGCAAAAACAGGCTAGAAACCTGAGTTCTTTCAGCTCGCTGTCCTGTTTAGGACTTACCATCCTTATTCATTACATAAAAGAACACAAGGGCAATAAAGCAGAAAATACCCACACACCACCCATAAGGGAAAGAGTCCTACAAACCCACAACCTCTTTCGAAGAGGTCCGAACATATATGGTTCGAGAGGACACTCAGGTCAGGTTTTGGGCTTCCTATCGGTTTTATGAGTAGGTAGGGAGATTCTTCAGATTCCTTCCTAGGTCTTTTGGGATATACTCGGTGCTACTTCAGTAGCTACAGGCTTCGACTTGCTTGCCAAACCTGGAAGCGTTTTATTTTTCTTTAATTTCCATCTAGGAGGTAACATCAAGGAAATTTGGAAATATCCTCGAAGATCAAAATTAGAGATTAGTGGGAACACTGTTCCCATAAGACTTCTTCAGTTACCAAGCCATGCATTCAGATAGTTTAAAATCACATTTGAAAAGCTGATTTGTTTTCCAGATCCTGCAGAAGCTGAATCCATGGGTTTGGTCCCAGGAATTTCCTTTATTCTTGGGCTAGATCCTTTACTACATGTTTGGCTGGTGATGACATTCCTTGGCCATTTCGTCCTTTGAACTTTGTCTATAAGAGATATGGAGATTTCTGACCCTATGTACATCCCATGTTATGTGCATAAGGAGCCTAATAAAATGAGGACAAGATATGGTCTCCAGCCAGTTTAGCAGTGAGAAATATTGATACCTGAAAATTATTGCAGAGAAAATTGAACCTAGATCCTTTGTTACACAGTTACAGAAAGGGATCACAAAGGAATCTGGTTTGATCATGCTCAATTACTCACTCAGTCGTCCCTAAGTGGAAGATAATATAATTTCTATATAAATGGATAAATATATTACATATCAACAGACATATAAAAGGGTGTATACCACATAGATGCATATAACACGAAGAGTGATTCTCTGAAATATTCTACATATATCTGTATCCCAATAATTACATCTCATACATTCATAGGAGTTTGCGTGCTTTTTGTGTATGCAGTATACACACACAAATTAATTCTCCGTTTCCTATTTCACAGGTAAGCATACAAATAATTACTGTTTATAAAGCATCCTAACTAAGGCATGCTTTCCATTGAAAGCTTCCTTGCGCATTTATAGGGCTTACCAGTTCCATCAACTATCTTAACTCTTTGCAACTTTGTGAGCAGTAAAATATTTAGCTAATCAATAGAATAAACAAAAATACATGTAACTTTCAACAAAGAGGATCCAAAATGAATCTGATATTCAAAGCAAACGCAAAAAAAAGTAACTACTTTTCAGATCTAATCTTAAATATATTTGCATTCTAGACATGCCAAGAATTATAATAGTTATCTGTGTTAGGGCCTGAAGGCCTGAAATATTTGTACATGAAATATTAGAAAGCACTTGTGGAGGGTTTCTAAAAACATATGCACTTCATGTGTTTCATAGTGTTTAACAACATGAATGCAGCCCTTGACTGCTCACAGGTATAATGGAGTCAAGTTGGCAGGACTTGTCAATTTTTGAAAAAATAAACTTCAGCAATGTCACCAAAAATAAATGAAAAAAAAATCAAATTAAAAAGTAACATTTTTAATCAATTCCTGACACCAATGTTGCTTGCAAGGTGGATTCTTAAGTGTGAAGAGGTTATGGGCTACTATCAAACCATGGCAACTTATTGCACTCACTTTAAAAGCAGTTAAATATACAATGAATCTCCAAACCATACAGTAGGCAACAACGTGAAAGCAATGGCACGTAAGATCAACTTTTTTAATCAAATAATTGTATACTCCCAGGGAAGCATATAGTACATTTACTCCATTGAGTAAAACGTATCTAGGAGTATTTTTAGAAGCCCAAAGTTTGAGGATGTAACCTTCACAACTGGAAAGTTTTGGACATACTTCATATCTGCCTGAAAGAAATAAAGTCCTAGAATTGAACAGAGACCATCCAGCTTTTGTATGGCCAGATCAACGTGTTTAGGAACTCAAAATCCCTTCTTTTTTGTTTTTTAAAAATACACAACTGGTGATTCTAAAATGGATCCCAAAATTCCAGATCATGAGAATCCTTTTTAAGTATAGATCTTTCACCTGAGGGAGCACGTGTACACTGTAAAGTGGCTTCTGTGGGAGGCCCAACCCAATCTCTTTTTTAAACGAGGCTATCAATAAACATGGACTTTCAACCTATTAAGTAAAATAAACATCTAGTAGATTTAGGCACCATTTATATCAAAATTTTACTTCTTTTTTTTTTTTCAAATTTTGACCAAATGACAACTTGTTCAATTATCATTTGCTCTTCAAGGGTGTTTAATTGTTTCAATTTGAGCTAAAGTTTTCTATTGTGTGGCGCGATGGTAATTGTGGTGATAATGGCGTGAAGATGATGGTGATCATGGTGGTAATGGTGTGATGATGATGGTGGTGGTCAACTGGCGGAGGGGGAAGTGGTAGTGGTGGCAACAGTGTGATGGTGGTGGTGGAGGTAAATGAGTGGTGCCTGCAGCTTGGTGGTGGTGGAGCTGTGGGGTGGTAGAATAGAAGTGGCCAGCAAGTTTAGCTGGTGGTGTGTTGGTGGTGATGAGAGAGAGAGAGTGTGAATTTTCTGGAAAACAACTTAGGAGTGGTTTTGCGAAAAAACTCAATCGGGGAGGTTAATTGCGATTGGGAATAAACTCAAATTTGAAAAATCAAACATCCCTTGAAGTCAAATTGCAGGTGACAAATTCTCAAGTGGAAAATTTTCATGCTTCCATTGGAGTGTACTGTCATTTAATACCTCGGGCAAAACTCATTCCAAAAACATTTTTTGGACCCCAATTGGGTATGTGATCTTTAAAAACCCTGTGATCATTCTCAACGAGGAAAAAATTTAATTCTCACTCTATATGTGCCTAAAAATGGTGATGTCCCAAGATCGAACAAGAACGGTCCAATTTTTGGAAGGAAAGATCTAGATATTCAAGAACTCAAAATCCTTTTTTTTTATAAATAATATAGTGATACTTGGATCACAAAATCTCGGATTAAAAAATCCTCCAAGGTATCTATTTTACCATACACGATTTTCCCACAAGAGCATGTTATACGAACTCAATTGTCAAATTGGCACAAAATGCAAGTTGGCCCGGAAATCAAATAAAGCTTTAAGTAAGGCCGATGTTGATGGAGTCCCAATGTATTTCATGAAAATGAAAAATTCCATGCATCTCAGATTGCACAAACAACAGCAGGACTGATATTATCAACGATGGTATCCTCAAACAATCTCCAATACAAGTTGGTGGGGTGGATCCATAGACAAAAATAAAAATAGTTCATAAGTAAATAGCTTCTGACTGTTCTTTACACCTCATTGCAAGTTTAACTTGAACAACAAGAATCTTGATAGATCTTGCAATCATGCAGTAGAAAGCAATCAAAGTAAAAATTTGTACGATCATTTCTCGCATAAAAGACGAAAACTAGAAAATTTGAGATTTTTGGACACATAACAAATAGTGTAAACATCTTCTAGCGCAAAATAATGTAAATATCAAAGTTATTCTAGATTACTGAAATAAAGAGCTCAAGTTTATTGCATTGAAATTACACAATCAACAGAGTGACAGGCAGTATCATCGTTACTGAAACATTCATACTTGAAAATGATGCTGTGAAGAATAATCACAGGTCTGTAAAAGCCCAATTTATTCCGTTCAAGCAATGGAACTCATGTGCCTGCAGGAATGAAATATCTAAAGTTGGTTTCAACAGATGACATCAGATTAATTTCCAAAAATTTAAATTTAAATCTTTTCGCATACATAAAGCCAAAAAAAAAGAAGAAGGTTGGAAGCTCTAGAACTGAAAGAAGCTCATAAAGAGTCCTACAAAACCCAACAGAAATCCATAAATGCTATCTTTTACTTATAATTTCCTTCCAAAAATGGCACAAAAGGATCAGATCCTCAAAAGGACACCGAACATTGAAGGCCCAACATCAAAATCGGAGCAATAAATGTCTATTAACACAAAAAGAGTTATATTATTCCATCACACTGACCAATGGTCCATACACCAAGCAATATCACCATACCAGTTTGTTAAAAGACAGGCCAACCAAATGCTTATGGGAGTGGACTGAGAGTTAGCAATACAGTTTTCCATCAGGAATCATCTAAGAATAACCATGGGGATGATTTTAACAACCTAATCCAACCAAATAAAAGGTTTGTGTAACTAAGCCTCAGATAAACTACCTGTAATACGCAAGACACGCATTAACCTGATAGGCATAGTCCATAAACTTGATGCAATCAATAGAGTTGAATGAAGCAGGAGCATAAGCGGAAAAGAAAACAGAAAGCAGCAGCAGGGGACACATCAGAGAACAGTTCAAATGTTCCAATAACAGTTCCTTCATGTATCTTAAATAATTCCCTAATGTGCATCTGAAACAAATTTCTTTGTAGACGTTCTTCTGTTCTGACAGATGGCCTGGCACTGTTTTCAGTCCATGATATCAAATGCAGCCCCATAACGCATTATGCGCGGCCCCAGGCACATCGCCCCCACCCGCATATGCGGTAATCTGTGATGTGGCCACACATGCAGGGCATCTACCATATATGCGGCCGCCAATGTTCAAAAATGCAGATTCGGGCGTTTTGGGTGCCTGGCTGCCTAGGCACCTAGGGCTGCCCTCACCAAAATTGAACCACCCCCCCCCCAAAAACAAAAACAAACAGGGAAGTTCTTAAGGCATGGTTTTAAGCCTGAGGAAGTTTTTAGGGCAGTTTTAGAGCCCCAAACTCCTTGTGAAATAGACGAAAATGTAATATTGCAATCAAAAGTAAAACAAAAATAATAAAATATCAAAACATGACATGTTGTACAAATAATGAATCAAGTATTCATTAAAGGATACAATATATGCTTAATTTCATCGTCCAGATGAGAAAAAATTCAATTAATCACAAAAAAAAAAAATCAATCTTTAAACTACAAACATGTAAATATATCGTAAAAGGAAAAAAAAAAAAGTAAAAGAAAAAACACATGATTTATAACATAATATGTTGTAGCAAAATAAAATCAAAACCCTCTTTCAAATATGATAATACTTTAAAAATATCTAAATCAAATCGATGTCAATACAAACCTCGTCTATTGGGTCACCAAAAATTCTCAAAATCAACTACTAGAAGATCCAAATCCACCCACAAACTACTGCCTTTGTTTTGGGAAGAAATTGGAAAAAAAAAAAAATTATTTATCTTTCAATAAATCACAAAAGTGGTTTTTAAGGGGTTTTTCTCACCCTAAAGGCCACGGTTTTTGTTTAGGGGGTTTAGAATACCCCAAAACCCTTTTCCCCCTTTTCAGGGGAGAAAAATTACAATTTTTGACCGAGGTTTTTTGCACCCATTCGCAAAGTGTCACGGGGCGGCGCCTAGGCGGGCGCCCAGAGACAAGGTGCATAATGACCCCGCCCAAACAGCGCCTAGGCGTTTTTTTTTTTTTTTGCCTAGGTGTTTTTTAAATTTTTTTTGCCTAGGCGTTTTTTTAAATTTTTTCGCCTAGGCGGCGAGCGGCCGAGTTTTCAAACACTGGCGGCTGCATTGAATTTCCCACAAGCAAGGGAAAAATTGTAATTTTCCGATTTTTTTTCTTTTGAGAGAAGAGGGTATATAATCCCCTCAAAAACCCCTATGATGATACTTCCATGGTTCTAAGGGGATTTTTAAGAAAGAATAAAAAAGGAAACGAAAAAAAATTATGCTTCCAAACTTTTTAAAAAAATTTGGGGTTTGTTCTTGAATCTTTCGTGGAATTTTTTTTTTTTTGCGGGTGACTCATTTTGAAGGTTTTGTGGTGAAGATTCAACAAGTGTTCAAAGGACTCAAGGCCTAGGATATTAAATCCTATAAATCAAAATTTCATTCAATTTGGGAGTCGGGACTTGATTGAGAGTTATTTGGGAGTTGAGACTTATCTGATTAAGACTTGAGAGTTGGCACATTGACTCATTAAGCGTGAGTATTTATCATCTTTTATTTTTATATGTTATGAACTTTCGGTCTTTGGACGCCATGTTAAATTGTTAATTATTGTTATTATTGGGATGGAATGGATTATTTTATATTACATGTAAGACAACAAACTTTGTTACTCTTTATCAAACTATTGGGCTATCAGGCGACTTAGAAATCTAATATATTAGAGAAAATTCCTAAATTAAAATTTGTACTACCACATAAATCACAAATTAATGTTCTTTTATGCAGTTTCATATTATTATTTTTCTCTTTTTTAAAATTTATTAACCGCATCGCCTGTCCTGCGTTTGTTTCGAGACCACATCAAGCCACATCCCGCATCGGATCCCCAACCGCATCGAGTCCACATTCCACATTTGATAACATTGTTTTCAGCAATTCCATACTGCATGGTTTTCTGTTTTGATCCTGAATTCAGTAACACCCTTTCTTCCATTTTAAGATGGCCATATTTAATTTTTTTTTGTTCGCAATCTTGTTATTTTTACTGTCATAACTCTTGCATGTTTCAATCAAACTCAGTGACCAATTAAAGAAATTAAAATAAAAAATCAATGTCTAGTGCTTGTACTATTTCTTACCATTCCAGGACATAGGTTGTGTGTTGAAGAAAAAGTTACAGTACCCAATGGAGGAGTACCTAAATGGGAACCATCCCATTTGGCATTTACAGAGGGAATAAGGTGTAAGGGCATGATTGAGGAGAACAGAATGCCCTCCAATCCCTCCATCACACGAGATCAGGCCCTCCATCCAACCACCCCATTCAGCATCTCAAACAGTTGTGAACGATCCAATGAAACAAATGCACTGTGATGGTTGTAATTCTGAAACTAACCACATGGAATATCCATGTGATACCAGAAGAGGATGGTAACCTATACAACTCACTGGCAATCTCTAGCAATGATGAGCAGGATCAGTATAACCATTAATCTATGGGCACTAAACATCCAGCTCAGGAGGGGAATGAATGATTTTGTATAAAAAAGGTGCACTATGGCAATCTAGTTTGCATTTTTGTGATGGTTAAGAACTTAGCGTTGGAGAATAGCAACTTCAACCCCCCCCAAGAAAAAGTATCAGCCTGAAGTTGGATTTTGGAGGCCGAATGCTAGGAATGTCATCTAAAAGGATAAAAAGATGATACCCATAGGTGAAGATTGAATACATCTGGATTGGTCATCTGAATACCTTCAATGAACTAGCAATTGGGCTTGGGCTCTTGATCGGTTAAGGTGTTGATAATTGTAACACTACATCCCAAGCTTGATTCCTACTGCTGAACTACCCTTTTTCCTTTGGATTCATCAAAGCATGGTCACTCCAAGATTCTTCAAACCTAGCCCATGACACTTGCATGAGACCATAAAATACGGCCTTCTCGAGGAAACAAATTAGTAATAAATAAGATATTTCCCCACAAAGGAAGGGCATATTCATGTGACAAGCGATCTAGCGCATTGTTGCGATAGCAAGAAGTCAGTGCAACAGTAAACTTTACTACTGTAGCAACATTCTGATCAATTCCAAATTCTGATAATTCCCTCGAGACAATTAATCAGAAATTTGCAGCATTCAAGCTCTCCATCACACTAGAATTCCACTCAAGAAAACAAAATATACATGAAGGATGACCAACATAATCGAGTTCAGGGTAGCAAACATACAAAGTATGTATCAGTAGAGGATAAAGGATGTGTGCTCAAGCCAAATATACACCTAATTAAGTGAATACGCAACTAGAAGAACCCAAAAGGTCAGTCATCAAGAAATGACCACCGTGCAAACTCTAAGAATCCAATCCCAAAAGCATAGGCAAGACAACTCACACAAAAGGAAAACATTAGAGCCCGGGAGGGGTACTACAGAGTGTACCCTGAGAGAGAGCACGGCAACTCCTGGAATCCATGCTCAGGCATGACGTGAGCCTGGCAGCAGAGACAGTACTGTGCAGAGGAAGCATAGACATGGTGCAACCCAATTGGGCAGGTATCCTGCAAGAAAAAGAAATAGGAATCAGGCACATTTTTCAACTAACAGAAATCAAGGACATGGTTTGGCCTAAATTTTTTGCATTAGTGCTACGGAATGAGAAAGCTACGGTGTGAGCTAACTACAAATAAATAAATAAATAAAGCAAAAATTACAATAAATAAGGCAAACAGACCAAAAGGCCCAACTTTTTTTTATTTTATTCATTTATTTTTACAATTTCCCAACCTTCCTTAAAATGAACAAAAACGTCCAATGGTTTGACAGGATCAAAATCCAGAAATCCTAATAATGCAGGTATCATGATCCCTAAGCATCTGGTCATAGGATTAGGGGTGGCAATCGGATCGGGTCGACCTGCCAACCCAACGGGTAGATCCAAACCAAGTTTGAGTCCGTGTCCGGATCCGAATCCAATTTCTAGGCCCAACGTGTCAGGTCCGAGGTCCAAATGACTCGGACCCAACTTGGGTCGGGTTGGGGTCAGGATCAAGCTCTGGCTTAGACCCCAAATGGGTCGGGGTCAGGTCCGGGTTGACCTGCCCCAGTATAAAATATATATTATACAATACAAAAATTAATTATTATTTTTTTAATTTCTAGACCCAGGTCCGAGTCCAAATGACTTCAACCTGGGTCAGGTCTGTGTCCAAGTCACTCGGATGCGACCGGATTCAGGTCCAGGCCGACACGGATGCGACCGGATTCAGGTCCAGGCCGACACGGATGCAACCTGTCAGCCTAGACATGGACCTGGATCCGGACCCAGACCCGGACCGTTGACAACCCTACATAGGATATGTAGGACAAGGCCGTGTTTCCACCAAGGAAACATCCCCTAGGCCTCGCCACCACTCTTGGCCCCCTATATTTAAGGCGCATAACCACCATATTCCATTTCCCAATTCTCTCACTCATTAGCAATTTCCCAGTTCTCTCACTCATTATCAGTATCACTGGCTTGTCGTTCTCTCTAATAGGGATTATAGAGTCCTTCCCTTACCAATCACCTGCATGCCACCACTGGCTACTCCAACAATCCCATAGTTGGAGGCCTTGAAATTACTCGCTTCCGTGACCATAAAGTTAACACACAAAATTTTCTGGATCCAAAACACTTGCCAGTTTCTAGAATACATAAAAGCCCCAATATACAGAAATCCAATTCCAACCGTTTTCGTGATGCATAAAGTCCCACAATTCTCCAATGCACCCATCATTCTCCAATCGATTTCCTTTCGGACAATGATTGTATTCATCCACTTTCAAAAAATGAATCTAATGACTTTTCCATTTCCAGTCTTATCAAATAGTAATTAAATTGGACTAAATGAGCTCCCAGATACAACCACAATTCACAGAGGCTATTGGCTCCATTAATAAAAAGGAAATACCTAGTATATTTAGAAGGGAGGAAACTGGGTGTTTGAACTCATTTTCCCTTAATTATATCACATCATAACTCTTAACTGACCAAAGAGTAATACACCCAGAGGGAAAGCAACTATAGATATAATATCACTACCAAAATATCAGTGAATTACATCGAATTGCCCAATGAAATGAAAAGATTAGGGTAATACTGAATAAAAATGAGTCATTTTACCATCAAACTTCCACATTTCACATCATCAGTATGAAAACTTCAACAAATCAGATCTAAAAACGGGTTTGAAAGATTAAGCACTCAGATTACAAGTCAAGTTCCCATAAACTACCCAAATTAGTAGGAAAAAATTATGCCTATCAAATGAAAATATGTTAGCATAGGGTTTACCAATAACTTCTACACATTGAGTACGAACCTTGAGTTCAAGAGACGGCGACGAGAAACCGTCGAAGAAGAAGAGTGACTGGTTCGTGGAACTCCTAGTGGCGATGATGAACTCTGGATTGGAGCTGAAAATGCCTTTGATTTCGTGGCAGATTTGATGGAAGAAACGGTTGCTCTAGCAAAAAACTTGTAGCGAGAAGCCATTGATGCTAGAAAATTACATAGGGTTTAGGGTTTTGCAGCGTCCATAAGACGGTTTAAAGAAGGAAGATTGTTTCATGCGGGCTGGACCGCATTTCTACAATATGCGGTCCAGAGTATAAAATATGTAGATATATATATATATATAAAAATAAAATTAATGATATAAGAACCTCCTACACCTGTATATAAGATTTGAGACGATTACCATAAAATTTGGCACATAGATTTTTAGAAAAGTTATCACATAGTTGTAGGACAGTCTGGGAAGGTCTCACAAGGTCATTTTCCTATCTATATAATCTTTAGGTGGAAGATTATATATTTTATAAAAATTAAAATCAAATTATATTTAAAAAATATATTTACTACCAAGCACATAGAAACTGTATACATTAAAGAATCAGATGGTTTTGATATTAAAAAAATTTCAAAATATCACTAAAATTTCTAAAGAAATATTGTCTTAATATTTTTTTTAAAAAAAATGATGGTTTTGCATTGTGATTTTTCATTACTTTATCAAAAAATATAAATATTGAAAGCTTATCTAAAAATGTGTTAAGTTATGATGATTAGGTAACTGCTAATAACCTCAACAATAAACGTGTTTTAAGGACCCCAGCAAACACATAAGAAGAATTTTTTTTTTTTTTTTGACAAATGCATAAGAGGAACTTTTTTTTCAATATGAAAAATGCGATGTCCTCTTTACTAATTTCAAATAAAACTGTGATTGCATCTTTGCCAATTAGGTGGTAGCTCGAGATCAGTTACACATAGTCTGGCACTAGAAAACCATGAGTTAGGGGAATTTTAATGTATAATATCTTTTGGGATTGTATATTATCATACTATTTATGTTTAGTATAAGGAGGTCACAATCATTTTGAGCCATTAGATGTAAAATTCAAAGAACAAAAATGTCTCACAACATTTGAGCAATTTTATTTTGGACTTTATGCCCAAATAATGACACATCTTTAATCACCCAATTTGAAATTTAACGGTCAATGATGATTGTTTCTATGTTTCAAAAGTAAATAGTCTCATTGTATACATTTTCTCATCTTTCATTCGCATTGTGAATATCTCGCAAAAAAACAAATAAAAAAATGAAAGTAATATTTGTCTTAAAAGCACAGCTCTAGGTTCATCCGAACGATTTAGACGATGTCCTTTAGGAAAATTGACTTCGAGCAACTCCATATTTATAAAATTGATCTCAAATGATCATATGAAATATTTCAAATAAGAAGTTCATTCATTTACTTATTTTACTTATTTCTAAAAGAAAAATAATCAAAACGTTTCTTTCATATAATCATTTCCACTAAAACATTGTACAAAATTTCTAAATTACCAATATTGAACAGTGATGGACATTTTGTTAATTTGGTCTACTTAAGTGGCTTAATCTAAATTACAAAAACACCCATGAACATAAAATTATAGATTGACCCAAGTACTCTTAATGATATTTTCATCATTTATAGTTTTGTATTACTAGCCAAAAATAGCTAGCTATATTCATAATTTAGCTCAAGCCACTAAAGTAAGTCAAATTATTAAAATGTCTTAGTTGTTCAATACGTTAAATCATGAACCCCCGTTTATTTTGGGATGCTTGAACAATTTTTTGAAGGGGATATTTTATAATTTGAGACCTAAAAATTCAACCTACATAAGATCTTTGGGCCCGTTTAGGGCCAATGTCAAATAAAAAAACCTTCTCATTAAAAAAAATTGTAATTTTTTTCAACCTTATTAACAAATATTATCATATTTTTTTATTAGTTTGTTAGACTGTTTGGATGGTATGCACATATTAAAATGAGTTTCGCAGAGGAACAGGCACCGATCAGAATAACATACGCTCTCTCCTCATACAAGTCCTACCGGCTTCATTTGAGAGAGAGAAAGAAAATGCTTGCCTCACTTGAAGCTCCATTCGAGAGAGTGAAAGAAAATGCTTGCCTCACTTGAATTTGGTGTTGTAGTTATGCAGGCAGTCAAGCATGGTGGTGGAGTGGAAATGAGTTGCAACTGACATTTAGAGAGAGAAAATGGCACCATAGCCAAAGCCCAAACCCTAGTTTTTGCAATTCTTATTCGTCATCCATTTTTTTCCATTTCGGACCATACAACTCTTATTCCGTAGCCATTTTACAGATATGGGATTTGAGTTTTTTTGATCTTTCGGTGTTGAAGCTTGGGAGCAAAAGATGGATGGTTTTTATAGAGAGGGGCTTTGGGGTGATTGGTTTTTGGTGATTCAAGTTTAGAGAGAGAAAGTAGAGAGATGGGTTTTGGGCGTTTCTGTTGTTAATGAGTTCGTGAGAGACGGCCCATCTTAAAAAAATCAAGTTTTTGTCAGAAAAAATCAAGTTTTTGTGAGAAGAGTGCAAATATGCCTCCCCGTTCTTGCTTCTTCCTTCGCGCTTGGTCTTCTTGACTTGATTTCTTCGACAAGGGGAGGGTTGGGGCTAGGGCTTTTACTCGCTCCCAATGTGCAGAGAGGTGAGGGGAGGGAAAGTGCTGAGAGGGCGTGAGGGAAAGCAGTGAGAGGGAGAGGAGAAGTATGGGAGAGAGTGGAGTAGGGTTAGGGCTTCAATGTGCAGAGAGGTGATGAGACGGAAGAAGGGGCGAGAGATGGAGATCAGGGTTTCAATGTTCCATGCAACAAGTCTCTCTCTCTAGTTTCGTCTCTCACTCAATACAAAAACTAGAGAAAAAGAGGGCTTTGTCACTGAGAGAGATAGAAGGCTTTGTCACTGAGAGCAGAGAGGTGATAGTGGAGAGAGAGCAGAGAGGCGATAAGGAGGTAGAGCAAAGAGGGTTGAGAGAGAGTGAGGCGAGAGAGAGCATAAGAAGCGTGGAAGGAGACGAAGGAAAATGCCATTATAAAAAATTCAAATCCAACTCGATTTTTTATTTATAGTGAATTTTGCCTTGACACGATTTATTTTTTCTTCCAATATAAAATTATGGAAAAATTGTGTAGTTGTCCAAACGGACAAAGTCCATTTCACAAGATTTTTTGATTGCAATCCAAAAATATTCCAATTTTGGGTACATCCAAACTGGCTTTTAATGATACTGTTATACAATATAGTTAATTTGGAGTATTTTTTTAGAGATAGTCTATAAAGCGATCATTTATCTTTTGTACAAGGAGGTCATAACTATTTCCACTCATTAGATGTTAAATTGGATGGTTTGGGGTGAATCACGAAGTTCGAGAATTCCTATTTGGAATTTTGTGTCTATTCAACGATACTTTTACAACCATCCATTTTGAAATTCAAGAGACAAGAGTGAGTATTTGAATTGTTTATAAAACTAGCATTTATCTTTGTACTAGGAGGTTTAAACTATTCCTACTTATTAGGTGTGTTCGATTGGAAAGTCATCGCGAGCTGCATCTCCCACTTTGGATTCAGACGCCTCGTCTTCCCTATACAACATGTTGGCCCACACCCGCTTATCAAATGAATGGGACAATCAACTGAACAACTTCTCAATACAACTCCTTCCAGGAGTAAGAGAATTGATTATCAACATATCAATGGTTTGATCGCTTCATTCTACAAAGATAGACCCAACGAGTGGAGTGCATAAGCACGGAGCGAGCCATGAGCGGGAACGAACAGAAAGGTTAACTCCCCCAAACTATAAAAAAGAGCCCCATCGATTGATGCGTAAAGGCTTTGTTGGCCCCAGCCCTACCCCTACAGATCTAAACGCTAGCTAATATGATCTAGGTAGCCATGTTACAAAGAAAAGAGCCAGAATTGCTTCGGTAAAACCGGACCCCCCTTTTTCCTCATAATGTAGTGCGCACATCCCTTTTTTAGGTGATAACTGTTTGCTAGGAGAATCTCCAAGTGGATTGGATGGTTTGGGGTGAGTTACAAAATTCGAGAATTTCTATTTGAAACATTGTGTCTATTCAAAAATATTGTTGCAACTATCCATTTTAAAATTTAAGAGACAATAGTGAGTTTTGGGATTGTGTGTATAAAAGGCATTCATCGTTTGTACAAAAGCGTCATAATTATTCCCACTTAGGTGTTAAATTGGATAGTTTTTGGTGAGTCAAGAATAATTTATATTTGGAACTCTGTCTATTCAATGATACTGTTACAACTATGCATTTATAAATTCAAGAAACAAGAGCGATTGTGACCTCTGTAGGCAAAACATGAAAGATAGATAGTATTTTTATAAACAACCCCATTTATTCAAAATATTAGGATCGATCAAAATATCAATTCATAATTATTTTTGAAGAAAAGATCAGATTTTGAGTTCAGGCCTTTCCCTGCAAAAAATTGTTAGTTCATGTCCAATCGTAGGTCGTCATGTTTTTGTAGGCGCATAGACAGTGCGGGTTTTTTTTTTTTTCATTTAAGGGTGATATTTGCACTCTAAAATATTTGGAATCTAAACAATATTTCTAGCATGAGTTTTGCCCGAGGGATTTTTTTGGATAGTATATACCCCTATAAAATCGTTTGGCATTGTAAATCTCACGCTCTGTCGGCTTATCAGCCAGCAGGAGAGGGAGAGGGAGAGGGAGAGGGAGGAAGGGAGAATGGCTGTGAACTCTCCTTTATCTGCACAAAACCTGTCCTTTCTCCACTCTCTTCAAATCCCTAGAAATTTCGCAGTTCCATGTCTCTGCAAAGCCCCAGAAAATGGACATAGAAAGCCAGGAAACTCGTTTCGCATTTGTCTTTGCAAAACCCTGGAAAGCCCTCAAGCGCGAGGCCCTGTTTCTCAGAGAACTCCTTCTTCGACATTGATTTCTGATTCTTCAGTCTCCAATGGCACTGGTGCGGCAGAGCCTAGCAGAGGTGAGAAGTTTTTGCAGCGGCAGATGGCCATGGCTGTTATTGATAAGACTAAGAAGAAGAAGAAGAAGGTGGAAAAGTCTAGGGTTTTGAATTCAGCCTTGGTTTGTTGCTATGGTTGTGGAGCTCCATTGCAGGTTGAAGAGGAAGATGCTCCTGGTTATGTGAATCCCGAGACTTATGAATTGGTATCTTCTTCTTTTTCTTATTTGAAAACAGTTACATGTGAATTGAAAATTGTCTAATTTGGATTTGCTCTTTTTTTGTGGTAAATGAATGTTTTGAATACTGTGTATATGAGGAAATGAATTGAATGTGTTACTTCTTTTTTTAGTGTTTTTTCCCATTTTTTGAGTAACTGAATTTAAATATCATATCATTGTTTTTTTAGTGTTCCTTATAGTGAGGAAATCAAAATTTAAAATTTTATTTTATTTTCCCCCTTTTGTTTTTAAACGAGTTTTCACTTTTTGCTTTTGAATTTCTTATGTTGCTTAGAGTACTTGTATCAGGAACTGAATCAAATGTTTTAGCTTCCTTAAAATTATGGTATTCTGTTTCATATTTTTTGAGGAAATGTAACAGTATACCAGTTTATCAGCAAATAATTAGTTTTTCCTCCCCTTTTCTATGAGGAAATGAACAAAATGTTGATGATTCTTGAATCTTTGTTGAGAAGGTTTTTTTTTTTTGGGGGGGTCTGGGGAGAAATCTTTGTTGACAAGGATTTTTTCTCAGTTGTGAGGAAAACGCTTCAAGCACAATGAAAGAATGGAGAGAATACCAGATAAAAATTTCACTTGATTGAAACTGTATGGTTTTCTCATGTGAATACGTGATTTTACTGGAATTATTGTTCTGTTATAATACTTTAATTGAAGTTATAATATTTATTTTCTTGATTGTGAGATTTGCTTTTTACCAAGTGTTGCAAGTCTTGATTTGTAGGAGTGGCTTTTTGTGTTGAGTGTTTTGTTAAGGTATGGTCTTTCTATTTTGTTGCAGAAAAAGAGGCATCACCAACTTCGAACTGTTCTTTGCAGGAGGTGTAAGCTATTGTCGCATGGGCACATGATTACTGCAGTTGGTGGAAATGGTGGTTATTCTGGTGGTAAACAATTCATTTCTGCTGAGGAACTTCGAGAAAAGTTGTCGCACCTACGTCACGAGAAAGTTTTGATAGTGAAATTGGTAAGGTCTATAACATGTTCATAATCAAACTTTCAGCTTTCTTTTGTTGTTCAAAGCAAGCATTCAATATGATTATGCTCTTGTATGTATGTGTCGATGAATTCATGCATGTATACGTGTATGTATGTATTTACTTCTTTGTGTGGGTAAGATGGCATCTGGACCTAAAACCACGGTGCTGATACCATAAACCTCTAATCAAAGAATATAGCTGAATTGATACAGTATGATCTTTGTGCAAATATGAATATGCGTGCTTTTCCACTAGGCATCGGGCCAATGTCCCTAGTAAAAAATGATTGTGGAAATATCGACCACATTGCATGAGAAGGATGATTTTTTGTTTTCTCAAAGTATATATCACAGAGAAAGCACAGCCACTGTTGTGATATGGAAACATGTATTATGGCTTAGAATAGAAGTTGGTGACTGTGCTATAATAGTCTAAATTACCAAAACATGGTCCTTTGCAGGTTGATATTGTTGACTTCAATGGGAGTTTCTTGGCACGTATACGTGATTTAGCTGGTGCAAATCCAATTATTTTAGTCATAACAAAGGTATAATTCCACTGTGATCTTCTCTATATAATGTATGTGACTTTCGATGTTCCTTATATGCAATTACACTTACTTGAACTGGTTTCCATTTTTTTGTCTAGGTTGACCTCCTTCCCAAAGGGACTGATATGAATTGCATCGGCGATTGGGTTGTGGAGGCCACTATGAAGAAGAAGCTTAAGTAAGTGTTATTTTCAAATTTGAACTTACCGTGGGTGATTCTTTACCATTTTCATAGTTGAGAAATCTTGGTTTTATCAAAGAAAAAAGTTTCATGTGTTCTTTATCTCATATTTGTCTCTCTGGAATTTATCATGAAGCTCAAGTATCATCTTGTTCAAAACTTTTGAGGATCATTCCTTAATGGGGCATGTTACTATTGCAGTGTTATGAGTATCCACTTGACCAGTTCAAAGTCTCTAGTGGGAATTTCTGGAGTTGCATCGGAGATTCAAAAGGAGAAAAAGGTTGGTCTGTTGTAACTTTAATTATTTATTATATTAGTAAGAAAAATAAATTTGTCTTAAGAAATTTATCTTCTTTTAATTAATATAAACAATCATCAAGTTAGAAAGAAAATTACAAAAGGGATTCTAGTGTCTGAAGCCCATCATCTGGGCTACACAAGAACGTCTTTTCCACAAGCACATATGAATCCCCTTTCCCCCTAACGACTCCCGATTGTTCTTTCATAAGCTTCCATCTTGTGGAAGAGTTTCACTTCCTTTATCTTTTGACTCCTTTATTATTTGGATTATGAGCCTTCTTGAACTGGAAGGCACCAATTGTTCAAAAATCTGGGTCACTAGTTTATCAAGCTCCTTTACATGGTTTGTGGATCATGATGGCCACTCGCTGATTATTACCTTAATGTTGAAGCTTGTCCACCTCCCTTTCATGGTTCTTGGCTCCTAGTCACTTCCAGATTTACTACTTAGAGCCCCTATTGATTTTTGAGTTTCTTGTATTATACCGAGATCTTTTACTTGCAGCCTCTTGGTCTCTGGATCCATTCCCTCACTCAGAGATTTGATTAGGTTTTTTGACATTTGAACATCCCGAAATATCAACATTATTATTCTTGGTGGTGGGGTTGTAATAACTGGTGACTACTACTATTTCAAAGATCAGGTTACTGGCAAACACTATGATGGTAATCTTATTTGTTTACAAGTTTTCAATGATCCACATGACCACATGAAATATGTAGTCATCACGGTTGTCACCCTCCAATCAATGCGTTGCAAGGTGCTGAATAGGATGAACACTTGAAGTTGTGCCATGTTTGGCAAGCTTCAACTCATTGATTCGACAATGATGACCATCATGACCACATATCTCATGTGTCACATGGATCACAGTTCACTTTCCCGTTTGCTAACCATGTATACGGAATTACATTTTAGCAAAAAACCTCAATTTTTTTAAAATGCTCCTATTCCCATTAATTAATGTAGAAATGCCAATTATCTCAAGCAAAAAACCTCAAATTTTAAAAAGTGCTCCTATTCCCATTAATTAATAATAGAAATGCCAATTATCTTAATTGTGGAAACTATTTTTCTTGGAAGCTTTAGGTGAAAAAAAGAAGAAAGATGACAGATTTGTGGATTTTGATCAATCTTTTTGTCTCTTCTGCAAAATAACATATTGTAGACTGCCTTATCATGTTATTTTCCTTCTTGTTTTGACAGGGTCGAGATGTGTACATTCTGGTTAGTGCATTATTAAATTGCCAAGCTTGAGTTTTCTCCCTCAGAGTAGGATATTGTCATCATTCTTTGGTTATTGTTTTCTTACTAGAGTAGATTGGATATTTTTCCTAATTTTTTAAAACTTAAGTATCCAAGTGGATTTTGAATCATTGGTTTAGGTTAATGATATTATGTTTAGTTGGTTACAAAGTGAATTGCATGAAATTTATACCAAGACAAGGTATCAAGATTCAATACAACCAGAATGTTTATTAGAAGTTATATTGTATACCTAATCTGCACCCTTGCATATATTTGTCCATGTATTTGTCTATGTAACCAGTTTTCCTCAGCTTTATTGCCCAATGTTTTCTTGTTCTCCTGTGTACCTGCTATAAACACTCTGTGTTCCAATATTCTATGCCATCCATGGTATGGAAACAGGCATTAGTGATAGTGCTGATTGAAACAGAAGAGGAGTAAGTGATAGTTGATCATCTGTAAAATTTCGTGTTGGACTTTGTTTGTGGTTTCGGTGTGTCCATTGGATGGTTTCTAATGGCATTCTTCTAGACTGTAAGAAGTAGTAGATAAAGAACTTATGGATGTCAGTTAGAATATTTTAGGATTGAGATTATGGGGATTCAACATAACTTTTTCTCGTTTATCTCTGAGGTGGATGGCGACAATCATTGGAATCAAAGTCCTATCTACAGTTTGTTTTCATTACATAACATCGAGGGCCTCTCCTGAACCATGGAGATAAGAACTTTAAGACCCCTACTTCCCAAAAGGGCGTTCACAAAACCCTGAAGCATATATAGTTTTGGTGCCAGCATCAGAATCACACACTCAAGTTTGCATGTTTTAGTATTTAGTGAATGTGGCACCTGGCTAACTTTGCTGTTTTGGCGTATTTTTTCAAAATAAGGATAGAACAAAGGTGATTTGTGGTTTGTGGTATTTAAAGGAATTGAAGCCCACAAATGTGCAGCACTTGAACACAAGTCTGTCCCAGTGCATTATGAGCTACCAAATATCGCAATACCACAACCTCAACATTGTTATACTGGAAATAGTGTGGTATCCTCAACATTGTTATGGTTGAGGTAGTTGATCTGAACTGTATAAGGATCAAGATGTCCACTATTGTTCATCTCAAACCTCATCTTGCCAACGTTTTGAAAGATGTTATTTCTTCATCTGCATATACTGGAAATTTGAGGCAGCAATAGTTTTTTTTTTTGGGAGAAATCATGTCCTAATAATTAATATGCACCAGAATAAAGTGTAGTCAATAGGGGCTGTTATATTGGGAAACAATTGAGGCAATATGTGCAAAATGATTCTATGTTGGATAACCAGCTTTATGAAGTTAACATTGGGATCTGTCTTCTCCCACCAAAATATTGATAATTAGAGATTTGAAATGCTTATTTATGAGTGAGATTAAAAAAAAGAATAAATGTTTATTTATGAGTGAGTAATCAAAGAGAAAAAAAAAGAAGGGGAAATTATTCCTTGATTTTTCTAGCTTTGATACATTGCCCTCGGGACTGTCAATTTATTGGTTCAAATAAATGCACTTAGTGATGGTTAAGGAATTGCCTGGTGAATTTCTGAAACTGTATCAGTGAATAAAGTTGCACTTTATGCTAATTGCTTAAAAAAAATGTTTTACTTTATGGTTATTTATAAATAGAAAAAGAAGAGAAAATTATTCCTTGATTTTTCTAGCTTTGATACATTGCCCTCGGGATTGTCAATTTATTGGTTCAAATAAAGGCACTTAGTGCTGGTTAATCAATTGCCTGGTGAATTTCTGAAACTGTATCAGTGAATAAAGTTGCACTTTATGCTAATCGCTTAAAAAAAAATGTTGCACTTATGTTAAAAGGAGTAACGTATTTTATCCAATAAAAGAAGTTTTCTCTCATGTTGGAGACTCATGTTCTTGTAATCTGATTTAGTTTTTCTCATGATCAGGTTCGATACATCTGTGGTATTCTATTTTTTCTATTAGCTCTTTCTCTACTAGTGATTCGATTGCATTTTAGCTTTGGAAGCAATTTCATGTAAATCCTAGATTTATTTCCTCTTAGGTTCCATTTGATTTATGATTTATAGTTGTACTTGCTACATACTAATAAATGTGTTTTCAGGGTTCGGCAAACGTTGGAAAGTCTGCATTCATAAATGCTTTGCTGAGTAATAACTTAATACTTTTCCATTTTCCATTTGCTTATAAAATTACTGCATTGTTGTTCCCTCTAAGAGATTTCTGGTGGAAGTTTCTTGTATCGCTTTGGAACTCTCCTTTTTGACTTAGTTCTATATATGCTTATGTGTGAGCTAAGCATGTAAAACTTTTTGTATTGATCATCATATTTCTAGATTTTATGAAACTTATATTAACGTAATGGAACATAAAATTGGTCATTCTATAATCAGTTATCAATATGTTCAAATTATCTAACACAGCTTTACTTTGTTTATGCTTCTTATGAAATGCTTTTTCTCCTCTCATGGTTACATTGATTGCCTGGCCTTTACATTGCTGTGCTTCTCATGGCAAATTTAATTTCAGAAATGATGGCACAAAGGGATCCAATTGCTGCAGCAGCAAGGAAGTTCAAGCCCATGCAATCTGCTGTTCCTGGAACTACTCTTGGTCCTATTCAAATTGATGCTTTTCAAGGAGGGGTATGTGTATCTTGATAGTGTCAGCTCTGTTCAAGTTCCTATATCATGGTTGTTTATGTCGTCATTGATTTCTTAAAGTATGGAATAGTATTTTATAATGTCAAAGGATTATATGCTCCTGTGAAAGGGGCTGGGGTTGTGGTGGTAGCACCCCCACACCCTAGTCACCACGTTGTGGTTTCCATTCCCACCACTAACATGGCCCCACTAACACCTTCGAAAAGTTAACTCCTAATCTACTTGAAAAGACAGGTAGGGGCATGTCTTCCCCACTAAATTACCCCCAAAAAATGGGGATTATATGCTCCCTCCGCAGCATATCATGTGCACACCCCTGTTCCTGTCCAGGATTATTCCTAGGGACCCCAAATTTTGGGGGATGTAACCTCCTCAACGTGGCAACCAACCCCACCACCCACCCCAACCCCAACGCCCCCACCCACAAACAATCTGCCAAAAAAAGAAAAAACCCCAAAAAAGAACAAAGAAAAAAAAAAAAAGAAGTCATATGATTTCTATATGTACCCCCCCCCACCCACAAACAATCCCCCAAAAAACGAAAAAATCCCAAAAAAGAACAAAGAAAAAAAAAGAAGAAGCCATATGCTTTCTATACGTACCTGAAAAATAATTAACATTCTAAGAGGGAATTGGAGTCCACCCAAGGTTTGGATGGCCTGATCTAAGTGTTATAAACTCAAAATCCGTTTTATTTTTTTTGAAATACTCATCTGATGATTATAAATATAAAGTGTATCTCAAAATTTCAGTTTGAAAGGAATCCTTCTAATTAGGTCTTTTGCCTGTGGGAGTAAGTTTACCATGTACTCCAGCACCCTGTTCTTATAGCTCCTTCCAGATGTGCTTCAAATGTTAATTTTAGAATATCCTAAATACTTGGTTTGATTTGTGTTGAACTTAGAAGTTCATATTACAAACTTACAGCTACTTCGTTGATACCATTTCAGAAACTCTTTGACACTCCTGGAGTGCACCTCCACCACAGGCAAGCAGCAGTTGTCCATTCTGAGGATTTGCCTTCTCTTGCCCCTCAAAGTCGCTTGAAGGGGCATACACTTCCTGTATGGTTTTTTTATTATTTTTTCCAAGTCATTCCGTTCCATGAGCATATGGTTTTTTTTCAGCTTATTTACTCTTTAACTTGGTACCCTGCTTTGCAATGTATTAAGAATCCGGAGCCCCACATTCCAAGTTTTTGGGGCTTATAACCCTTTACACATTATGTAAAAGGAAGCCTCATTTAAATAAATCTTAAATCAAAACTTTATGTAAGGTTTTGGAAATCTTAGGCCTTGGATGTGAAAAGTTCAAATCAAGAGGGAGACGGCAGCTTGAATGGGATTTCCATATTCTGGGGAGGGCTGGTCAGGATTGATGTTATAAAGGTTTGTATACGTCTTCTGATAATTAGCTGACCACGATGCCTCGTGTTAACTAATACTTTCTCTTGGGTAGAACTATTGAAGTAGAGAAAAAGAATGACTCTCCTTAAACTAATACTTTCTCTTGGGTAGAACTATTGAAAATGAGAAGAAACATAGTCGGGTTATGCGTGCAAGTGCAGGTTCTTCCACAGACACGTCTTACTCTGTATGGACCCAAAGCATTGAAGGTTCATGTAGTTCCCACTTCCAAAGCAGATGAGTTCTACCATGTAAGAAATTTCTATCATTGATTAATGCAATCACCATTTTTTTTTGTTATTATTGTCAAGGGGAATATCAGAGAAATCCAAGATACACCAGATGGCCCCCCCAAAAAGTCACATCGCCTTCACATTCAGTTAATTTTAGCCACGTGTTTTTTGAAAGTGACAGCCTTTTGTGAATGTGATGTGATTTTTTGGGCGACTATATAGTGTTTATTGGGTAGCTCTAATATTGCCTTTATTATTATTATTGCTGTTACTGTTCAGTCAATTATTATAGTTTATGTATTAAGAAACACATTGCTGTCTTTTAGTTCATTTGAATATTTCTAACCTTAAAGGACCATGACTATACTCTCTTTTGGTCCTTTTAGGTGCCCATTTGTTCATCTCTTTACCTCGCTACATGATCAACCACTTGGAAAATTAGAGCATGACTGGCTGATTACATAGTGACAAATCTTGTTCTCTTGATATTCTCAGCATTGTAGTTTCTTGGGAGATTTTTCACTAGCTTTATTTTTCTATAAGCATATATTTGTATTGTAATGTTTGTTCTAGAATATATTTTTATAGGCTTGTAAGTTCATATTTTTCTTGGAAATTTGTATAGACATTAGTTTGAATTTGTACTTTTAAGAGCATTCTAGAAGTACCACATCAAAAGAGAATAATATTTCAGGGAAAGGCAAAATCTTGATGTATTAAAAGAAATTCAGTTTTGTCAATAGACCTCACAGTATTTTCATGAGATGTAAAGGGTAATGGAAACGTTTGTGGTCACGGTCATGGTTGATTTTAGAACTTACAAAACTGATGAAGGCAATTGTCTAATCCTATCTCATTGATTCTTCCCTTTAACATTTGTTGCAGAAAGAGCTTGGAGTTGCATTGACACCACCGTCCAGCCCAGAGAAGGTGAAAGACTGGCCAGGGCTTCAGATGGTTCGCCATTTGCAAATAAAGCTGGCTGACTTAAAGAGGTGCCTACTACTACTATTACTAGAGCACTGCTGCTGCTATGACTACTACCACCACAGAATATGCAACAGCATCTATGATCATTACAAATGCTCTTAGTTGCTCAAAAATGTCATCGCTCTCCAATCAATGGATGGATAGGGATGAAGAGAGTATGGGACTTACCAATTGGCATGTTCTGGTGAATCCCACTCTGTCCATCACTGCCCTGTTGATGGGATGGCGCTAATACTGAGGACCATTTTTCTCACTGTGCATATATATCATAGTGTAGTTCCCTCTCGGTTGATGAGGAACGATCCTAGGAGATCTGATACTGCACGAAATGTGTTAGCACCCTGGTTTCCACCATCAATGACCTGCCATGGATGGCGGAGAGATGATTAACTCTGTTTGAGGAACAATGAAGAACTTGTTGACCGAGGATCATTTCCACCTGCCCTTGGTAGGCCATCAGTAAAGATCGAGGTCATACAAGTTTTGTATGGAACCATGTCCTGATAATTTTGTTTGATGATGGAAGAGGTCTCCTACAATCATTCCCCCTACTAACATGTCTTTTACAAAAAGGAATTCTGTAATGAACTTCATCTATTTTATTTATTATCATCATCATGAAAACCGGCATTACCATCTTAATCATTATCAATGGTTTGCTCATGTATCAATCAGTAAATGAATTTTAGAAACTTGCTTGTTGCATTATTTCATTTATTTATTAAAATTATCACCAGAACCACCGTAGCATATGTAACATGGGCATCTGTGTCCATGGGTTTTTTAATGCATCGACACCAAGAATAGAAAAAACCCATGTATGACCTTTGCGACTTTTTCTCAACTACTATTTTTGAAATCTCACTATAAAATTCTTACGGTCAGACAAAATCCTGCCTCCCTCATTCGTAGGACACTCACAGACATTTGTAGTGAAAGCTTACTTCAAAATTGGCATTTACACTCACAGGCATATGCCAGATGCCGACATGTAGCTATCCTTTGCTATGGAACTTGTACCATAACCATCTTCATCGCTATAACTACTGCTACCACCTTGTTTTTTTTTTATTATGATGATCACAACAACCAGTTGCAGGAGCACTTGCAGCATTGTGGTTTTGCATTTTACTTAAACTGTGAGAATTTTCATGGGCAGGCCTGCATGTGACATCGCCATATCTGGTCTAGGGTGGATAGCTGTGGAACCCATGAGTTCGATTATAGAACATGAAGTAATCGAGAGTGTTTCAAAAGAAAACTACGGGGAATTACATTTTGATGTTCACGTCCCAAAGCCTGTTGAGATTTTTGTGCGCTCCCCTTTGCCTGTGGGAAAGGCCGGAGGGGAGTGGTATGAGTTCCAAGAATTGACAGACAAGGAAGACGAGTCCAGGCCAAAATTGTACATTTAAGTCGTTTACCAATTTTGATAAAAGTTATCATCTAGTAAAGAAAGGAACATTTTGTAGTGTATTGGAGCCTCATGTCTCACTTGTTATTGTGTACGTTATGGTATAATCCCAAATTTTGATAAAGTGCTAATAGTACTTGTTCAAATCAGAGTTTACCCACCCAAAAACAAGATTCTCCTGATTTCTCTCGATTATGTATTTTTGAGTGCATAGGATGCAATTTAGACCTTGAACGTGGGTTTTTATGATCCTAAGCACATTAGGCGCCATCCCCGCCTTTCACAAAACTAGGAAATTTAGTTCTCTACATAAATATGTATTTAGTTGCCTTCCCCTAGTTAAGAAATGCATATAATTATGTATTTACTACTCTTTCTCAATCACAAGCATATTTGGTTTAGGGTTTACTGGGTGGCCAAACCCATGGTGAGAGCATAGCCTCCTTTCTCTCTCCCGAATCTCCACTATCAGCTTCACTGTCTGTAACTTCTCTACCTAGATCAGAGCTTTTCCCCCTCTTTCCTTCATTCCTTGATGCAGGAACCTAATTTTCATGGCTTAGTCGTCGAAGCTCTCTAATCGCCGACACAGGCAAGTCACTCCAACCTCCTCTCTGAGAAGGCTTAAAGCTATAGTTGCCCCCTCTGCTACCTCAGCCTTTTGCACAGTCCCATAGCTACCCACCTCCACTATTTCATCTGTTCAAAACTGTATCTAGAGTTGGGGTGCTCCTTTCCTTGAAATACATTCCATATTTCTTCACACTCTGTATCTTCCCCTATTCGTGCAAAGGGGGACCGTTGCATTCCTTGGTGTTTGATTTCAGACTTGGATGAAATTCAGCGGGATCTAAGCGACGTACATTTCTGTGCTGGTAAAAGGCATGGCAACTTCTCAAAGTTCTCTTACCTAAAAGACATGATACATCAAAATACCTGAACTCCAAAATATGAAGTTTTGAACCTAAGTCACCGAATATATACATATAAATTACCAATGAACCCAAGTTCTAAAAATAAATATTCAAATATCAATAAAGACAGCAAGAGTTCGAAGGTTTTGCCTAAAATTCCCAAAAATAGGTGTCTTACATCACCAGCTTTTTTACAGCAAAAACAAAAAAAATGACAAATATACACCAAAATGCCGAATAACTAAAAATGTCCAAAAATAAGGAGTTTTCAAAGGATATGACTTAAAAGTTAAAAACTATTATATTGCCCAAATATAACGCCAATTTGGAGATTATAAAAAAAACAAAGAAATAAAAGACAAATGAATGCTTCATTAAACTCAAATACCAGGTCAATACACCGAAGCTACCTAAAAATTTCATCGATATTTTAAAAAAATGCGAGAAAATGAGTTGCAAGCTGATAAATGCCGAAATATCAGTCAGGAACAACAAAATGCCTTGATATTTCTGTGAAACCAATAATGCCAAAAGATCGCATTAAAATACTGTAAAATGAGAGAACGTGGATTTAAGCATCAAAATATTGACCTCATTTATCAATGGGAAAAGTTTTAATAAGGTTGCAACCTTAAAATGTAGAATCATAGATGCACCTCAAAAGTCTATCGGAAATGTTGCTTTAATGTTGAAAAAACCCTCTAATCGATCATCTCAACATCGAAATGTATGAATATGAATTAAAAAAAGTTTTTGAATCTCAAAAATAATGCATCTTACAACATATTATCTAGACTGTTTATTTTCAAAATTTATATATATATATATAAATCTACTTGATTTTAACCATTTTAAGATTTTAAAATTTTCTAATTAAATATGAAAATAGATTTTAAGACAATAATTTTACAACAAAATTACATGTTATGATAAAATTTTAAGATGCGCCTTAATTGGATTGTTTAAGGTTGTAACCTTAAAGAAACCGCACCCCTTTATCAATACCTCTGCAATATTTATACTAACCTCTGAACCAAAATTCGTTCATATCCTTTTTTTTAACCAGTTTGAAATGATGGTACGTGAAATTAAACATCGGAGCTCAGAATCAAGAAAAACCCTTAATCCAGGAATGGGGTTCAAGTTATAAATCAGAGGGGTACAGCTGTAACTGTAAAAATGTGAGAAATGTTCTGAATCAAGATTTTCCTAGAGATAAAACAGCTGAAATGAGCAAAAAAATGGATTGCAAAGCAGAAAAATGTGTCTTCCCACGAAGAATAACTGTTTTTCGTACAAATAATAGTGCTTGGAAGAACTAGCCGATTTATGATAAACCACCCGACAGTTCACTTCCCTATTTTTAGAAGAAAAATCACTCGGTTCACTACAATGAACAACATTTTGGGAAACCATAACAGATCGCCCGTTTAGGGCCATCCAGAACTAGTGACCCAACAGCTCCAAGTTTCATAACCTGTTTTTCATACACTGGTTCGCACAAGCATGGGTCATTCTTCAATAAAGAAGGCAAAAACACGGATATTACAGAAAATATATGGTAATCAAGTATCGATTGCATTGAAGCGCAGGCAATGCTATTTCAAACCTCAAATTGACCCAAACTTCTAATCTCCAACACTAATGACTAGACATAAAATTTCTTAATGAATTTCTTAATGAAAAATGAACATAGTTCTACAAACCCAAATTACAAAATTGTATTCTGAATTTATCTATCAATAAGTGGGTAAAAATCTTGCGGCAACAACTTCTACTCTGCTCCATCTTCGCGCTCATCTTTGATGAGTTTAATCATGTCATCAATCCGAAGAATTGTAATAGCAGCCTCAGTGGCAAACTGTTTTTTCCAACAAGGAAGAGAAAACAAGTTAGAAGATAATTTTTCATAAGAACCAAGAAGAAAGAAAGTGCTTGGAATATCGGGAAAAGAAAAATAGGTGAAGGGGCCTAGGATAGAGGTTGTCAGGTTGGCAGTTGCAAAAAGGTAATGTCTAGAGATCCATTCTCACAAAGCTCCAAGTTATCATTCAAAAGAAAGAGGAAGAAAAGGAAATGAAAGGAACGGTGTGTGTGCGTGCGCGCGTGTGTGTATTTGGCATCCAAGGTACCTGTATTATCTTCACTTTGCTCATTGATGGCTCAAGAACTCCAGCTTCTAGATTGTTCCGGATGGTTCCCTTGGAAAGCTCCAATCCCATTCTGTAAGAGTACAGTGAAAAGAGAACTTAGAATTCAAAATCCCAACTTATTTGTGTTCTTGAAAAAAACCAAAGAGAAAGAGAGCAACAGGGAACTAAACTGCCCAGAAAAAAACAAAAAAGGAATTGAAATTAAGAGGGTCAGAGTTCCCTGCAGTTCTAGCTATTTATTTTTACTTTCTTTTCGAAGAACACAGGATTGGTAGGTATTATACCCCAAAATAAAAAGAAGAGGAATACCAAATCTAAAGATTCTCAAAAAGAGGTTGAGGGGGGGGGGGGGGGGAGGGGGGGGAGAGAGAGAGAGAGAGAGACGACCGTACCTAACGAAGTAGTAGTCGTTCGTCGTCGTCGTACGTTCGTTGTCGTCGTGTAGTGTGGTAGTAGTACGTACCGTCGTTAGTTTAGTACGAACGT